GGGGGGTGGCCATGCCGCAATCCCTTCTCCTCCATTCTCCTCTCGGGATCTTGGGCACGCACGCACACGTGCCTGGCGTGAGTTTTAAGCCACCAGGTCTGGGACGCGAACCACTTTCAACTACATGGGAGTCCAGCAACATAGCCATTACGCTAACTGCTGGTCCCATGCCTGGCATGAATTTTAAGCCCCTGAATCCAGGACTCAGAACTATGTGGTTCGTGGGAGTCCAGCAATATAATCATTATGCCATCTACTGGTCTTGCTAGCCTTTCTTTTTTTAGAGGTTTTTGTGCTATCGGCCATTGTGCTCACCAGAGACAAAGAGATGAGAAAGGGAATGTGAGAAATCACTCCGCAGTGGGGATGGCCACTCTGAAATCCCTTCTCCATTCTCTTCCTGGGATTTTGGGCATGCATGCACATGCGCCAGGCATGAGTTTAAAGTTATCAGGTCCAGGACTCGAACTGCAGTTGGTCTTGTGGGAGTTCAGCACCTAACCACTATGCCACCTATTGACTCTGCTCATGCTAGTTTTTCAGTTTTATTTTAAGCGAAATAATGACAACCACTGTAGTGCAGTTAGAAGGACTTAAAGCAGTGATTCTCCAATATTAGTGGATATCAGTCAGAATCACACAGAGAGCTTCTTAAAAAGCTCAGCACTTGACCTCAACCCAGTCTCTGTATCAAATCTCAGGGTCAGAACCACGAATTTGCGTTTCTAATAAGTTCCCAAGTGATGCTGCATATCTGGGGAACATATTCTAAGAACCACTGTTCTAGTGGTGAGGACCTTCTTCCGCCAAGGTCTCTTCTTTTCTCTCTGTATATCTCCTGTAGATTATATTCTTCTAATGGGAAAGTATTAAAGTGGCTTGAATATCTATCAATAGGGAAATGTTTGTGTTAATTACGTTGCATCAAAACTATGCAATACTATACCACCACTAAAAAGAATAAGATTGATCTGTATGTATTGAATGAAAAGAAGATGCAAAATTTAAAAATAGCAAGGAAAATGTGGTATTATTTATATGATGGAATATGAATCAGCTATATAAAAAAACGATGTACTGGTACATGTTACCACGAGTGTACCTTGAAAATATTGTGCTAAGTCAAAGAAGTTAGCTAAAAAGCTCGTGTTCTATATGATTCCATTTATATGAAATATCAGAATAGGGAAACCTATAAGAGAAATGAAGTAGACTAATGGTTCCTTAAAGGTGGGGAAATAGGAAGGATTAAAGGGTACAGAGTTTCTTTTTGAGGTGATGAAAATATTTTAAAGTTGACTGTGGAAATGGTTGCATATATCTGAGAGTGTACTAAAATAATTGACTTTTGCACCTTAAATTGCTGAATGTATAGTTTGCTAGTTATATATTAATACAGCTGCTTAGAAAATTTAATAGGGTAATATGCATGTCTCATATGATCTATTTGTAGAAAAATTGTATGTATACATGGCACATGAAAGTGAATGCATAACAAAATGTATTAAAACATTAGGGAGGCTAGTGAATGATCTCAGTTTATGCTGTGTATGATTCTGTGTATAATTTTTTTATACAATGGATTTTTTTTTTGTAACCTATGTATTAATGGTTTAAAATAGAATGGGGCCAGCAGGAGCTGTGGTGGTTAAGGTGTTGTACTCCTACATGGCTGATTGCTGTTTGAATCCCAGACCTGGTGACTTGCATTCTCACTTTCTCTCTCTCTCTCCTATAGAAAGTTAAAATAATAACAATGATAATAATAATAAATAAAATATGTAATTCAAACAATATAATGATTAACAAAACAAATAGTTTTTAAATTTTACTGTAAGCCAAATAATGATTGCCACTTTAGTGCAATGAGAAGGACTTAGAGCAGTGGTTCTCAAATATTAGCCCTTAGCTCTGTCACGCTTGGCTTTCTGGCCTGTGATGGTAGTGAGAGTGGTATGAAAGTGACTTGTATTAGTTGAAGATGATCTTTCCTCAAATGATTTTTTTAATGTTATTTTCTGTAGCGCTGTAGAGCTGCCACTCTGTACTGCTATTGAATAAACCTCATATGCTCAATTTAAAAGTCTATTAAAAATTATGTTCTCCCAAACTGAGATTTTTAAGGCCAAGCACTAACAGGAAACCTTTTTGTATCTAATCTTAGGTGTGTGGTTGTCAAGGGAACATGCTAGAGAAGTGTTTAATGTGTAAATGTTATCATTGTTTTAAAATTAGCAATAACACAAACTCCAGCTTCAAAAGGCATTGAAAGTAGCTGTCGGGGGAATGAATCCATGGGGAGAAATTGTTCTGAAAAGTCTCACTCTGCAGGATTACCTACTGCCTAACTAGTGAGAAGGACGTGAGTTTCAACCAAAACTGGAATGCTAGTTGTGCCACTTATCAGCTCGTTATGTGACTTTGGCAAAGTTAATTATTCTTTCCAGGCCATCTTCCTTATTTGTAATTTGTGTAAGAGTTGTGAAGATTGAATGTCACAATTTATGGAAAAGTAAGGTCGCATAGTAAATACTAATTTATTTCCCTTCCACTTGGGCTAAACAAAGGTGTAAGAGGAAGTGGAGCTGATCAGAAGTGATGGGTGTTCCAAATAAGGTGTCCATCTTATTGGCTGTTTTTTTTTTTTTAAATTAGTCATCTCTATTAAATAGGCTTTAGCAAACTAGGCTGTCAATGAAAGTACCTAGAAAAAACATTTGATGTCTAACAGGCTTGACTCCTAGAATCTTGAACAAATCCCAGGAGAATCCTTGATGGAATTAGCAGCAAAAATTACTTTTTTGCAAGTAAGGAAGATTAACCAGGGTTAGCTTAAGTAGTGATTAGTAAAATTTGTTATTATTTAATCTCCATTCCTTGACTAATACTGTATCTGTAGTTACTTTTCTTAGAAAACCTTCTATTCCTTAATTCTAGGTTAGCATCTTTCTTTTAAGGGAGACAGAGAGAAAGAAAGAGGGAGAAAGCAACCCCCAATGGGGTGTAATCATGCCACAATATCCTT